CATGGCGGATCGACGTTTGCAAATGCGCTGTACCACTTGATACAACGCGTATGGTTTGAAGAGGAGGTGCTGGCCAAGCTTAAGAATGCGCTTGTGCTACCACTGTACAAGAGCAAAGGGAGCAAGCAATGCTTCACGAATTATCGTGGCATCAACTTACTGAGTTATGTAGGTAAGGTGATTACCCGAATCCTGCTCAACCGCCTCGTCAGTCAGGTTGTGGAAGCTAGCGTGGCGGAAGAACAATGTGCATTCTGTTCGGGTCGCAACACTATCGATATGGTGTTTGCGGATCGTCAGTTTCAGGAGATATGCAGAGAAGGACAGCTGTCGTTGTGCTCGCTGTTTGTTGATTTCATCAAAGCATTTGATACAGTGAACCGCGAGGCATTGTGGTCGGTGTTGGGTAAGTTTGGTTGTCTAAGTTTGTAAGCTTAATTGAAGGTCTGCACAGTGGTATGCAGGCAAGGGTGCAGCTGAGTGGACAGACCCTGGATGACTTTGCAGTTGTCTCTGGTGGAAAGCAAGGCTGTTTTAGCTCCTGTCCAGTTTAATACTTTTTTCATTCAATAATGTCGCGTACTTCTGATGTTGCTTGCGATTAGGGTATTCTTGTGGAGCATCGTATTAGTGGTAGGTTGTAGAACATCCATCGTTTCGGAGCGAGAACCCTAGTCTGTGAGACAACTATCCGTATGTTGCTGTTTGCTGACGACTGTGTTGTTTGCACACAGCGCGGATGAGTTACAGCACATGGCTAGTGCTCTGGCTTCGACAGTGCCCATCAGCACAAGCAAAACTGTATGGCTTTTTCAGCCTTCTCCAGAAATCGAGTCTGTGGGCCTGCTGCAACGACGTTTCGGAAAAAGCTCGAGATTCTGCTACCTTGGGAACTGCATATGATGAGCGAGCTGTGCGTCCACGTATTGAAGGCGACAGCTGCATTTGGCAAACTGGAGTACGGAGTGTGGAACAACCACCAGCGGATCGTTGGGACGAAACTTATGATATATAATTCTATGCTCCTGTCTGTTTTTCCATATAGCGGCGAAACGTGGACACTGAAGCGGAAGGACATGTGATACATGGATAAGTTTCATCAACAGTGTCTGCGACGGATTATACGCATCGGGTGGTGCGAGAGCGACAGATAAGGAAGTGCTGTGCCACAGTGGCATATATGCAGTAGACTGCATATTTCTGCTGGGACACACGACGTGACTAGGGCATAGAAGCCGCGTGGATTCGACGCGAATACCCAAGCAGCTGCCACATAGACAACTTATTGCATGGAAGCGGCACGTTGGAAAAACGAAGTTGCATTACCAGTACATGACCAAGGTGAGTTGAGTAAGTACTAATGTTAATTTCAGAGGTTGGGAATCAAACCTAGTTTATCGGCGCGACCAGTGAGAGCGATCGGAGAGAGCGACTGCCCATGTGTATGAAAAAGCAATGCTATATGCGGAGAAGAAACGCCGCGTACAGATGCGATAGGCACCGATGGTGGATAGCACATCGAAGTCGAGCGCATTATGCTGTAGAAAATGCGGTCGTGAGTGCCTGAATCAAGCCGACTGAGTAAGCGACTAGCGTTGCTACGCGAGGCCAACGTCTAGTAAAAAACAAGTAAGCTAATTATGTAATCATCGTCAGCACAGAGCTTGGAAAATGCGCTGTTCCCGTTTCCATTCAGTTTACTAACCCATGCCAATAAAGTGGTTAATGTCGTATGTGTGCTACATCATCACTGCAACTGGTCTGCACGTGCATCTGCGTGTTGACTTTCTTGCATTTTAGGTATTAGTTGTAGATCGATAGTCCTGGTGTGCATGTGCTTGATGTGCATGTTGACAAGGTATCTCCATGTCTAACACCCTCCATCTCGATTAATGGCTTCAGGAAAATGCTAGCCGTTGCTTGGGAGACGGGGTGCACGGTCCGCGTGGCCGTGCAAGGCTCAAAGAGTGGTTCCATCCAGTGTAGAGCGGAATACGGCCCAGCCGCCGCCTTTTGTACATCTGGTAAGCATGATTCCCTATATAGATAGACAGGAATGCTGTTGCTGTGCATGTTGAAGTACTGTTGGCCGGCTCCGTTGATGAAATGTGGCTCCCGTCCACAAGCCTCCAGGTCTTATTCCTTCGGGTTTACGCTGGGTGGAGCTGTGTGTGGTGCAGCGCAAGCCCCATAGCTCCTTAGCAAGCACAGGCATCCTGTGGCTGACCTATGGAGGCCGCGGTGAGAGTTAATGATATATATATATATATATATATATATATATATATATATATATCTGCTGAGGCTGATGTTGTATTCATGATGCTTCTTCACCGCAGATGGGCTAAACCAACTTACACTTAAAATAGGTCTTTTTAAGCTGGTTAAATTTCATTCCACTTTATTTGGTTTGTTCTGCCTATCTGAATAATGTTCTATTAACTGGCCACGTTCCTTTTGCTAATTGTGGTTATCTTCGTTAACGTTATTGCGTTTGTAGCATTTTTTGAGTAACTGCTGGACATTTTGTACTTATCGCGGATTCGTTGTTAACCAACTTACTTCATATGCTAATTTAGGGAAGAGTTATGTCTGCATAGCCGTATGCTTTAACAGATATATTTTATTTGATAATGTCATTTCAAGTGATTGGCTGTTGTTTGACATCCCCGATGTGGCTGCACTTGATGTGCATGTTGACAAGGTGGTCACCTGTCTATTACCCACTACCGCGTCCATACTGCCTCCAGGAGATAGTTGGTCGTTGCTGGAGGGGACGGGGTGCACGGTCCTTGTAGGCGTGCTAGGCTCAAAGAGCGGTTCCATGCACTCAGTGTGGAGCGGACTACGGTCCAGCCACCGCCTTGTGTGCGCTTGAGTCCCCTAATACAGTGTGCTTGTGTTTGCGTGTGAAGGAGTGTGGGCCGGCTTCGTTGATGAAATGTGGCTCCCATCCACATGCCTCCCGGTCTTATTCCTTCGGGTTTACACTGGATATGGGGTGTGTGGTTGGAGCTGTGGGTGGTGCAGCGCGAGCCACCCATGGTCCGTCTGTAGGCACAGGCGTCCTGTGGCTGGCCACAGTGACAGGCAAATCCAAAACCGGATACCGCCAACCATATGCAGGTTGTGCAAACAACGCAGTCATCGGAGTTGGTTTGCTTGCATGCGGGACACGTGGCTTCGCCATAGGGGCCCGGGTGCGTGACTTAATGGTGCTGAGCTGTTCATACGCACTTCCTGCATCAAATGCGAGAGGTAAGACGCGCTTATAGCTAACCCAGTGTTCCCAAGGTGTATGCGCTAAGCCGTGAAGCCATCGGTGGTCGAACGCCACGCTTCTTTATTTCTGTCTATCAGATGAACCAGGTTTCCCAACCGTACAGTAGGGCTGAACGCAGGGCTGTATCGTAGACCCTAATCCTTCGGAGCGAGTGATATCGTGCCGGCACCATTTATGACGAAGTTTAGCAAAATCGCCTCGAGCTTTTGTTATGTCATTCGTGATTTCATCTTACGTTTTACAGGTGCTAAAATAGCAACCTAGATACTTGTAGTTGTGAATGACTTATAACTGATCACCACCAATGGTTAGCGCAGGAGTGGGTCCCTGCCAATTTTGAAAAAGGACTTTGCGTTTCGAGGGTGCAAAGTATGGCCCAAAACGATTGACAACCAGTTCTAATCTGTTCAGTGCTGCTTGTCACGTTTGGGAGCTGTCATAGATTAGGTCATTGACACTACAAGTACGGTATCAATCTTAGCAAGATGGCTTGGACTATCAGCAAATCTATAGTGATGTTCGCATTAGAAAAGAGCACCATGTGAAGCACCGCACTCACTTGTAGCTAGGAAGTACGCGGCGTTTCTCACGCAGTGACTGCAGATTTGCGATCAACTTGTGGGGAGTCATGTATGTGGGAATCAATGGGCCTGCAACAAAGAATGCGTTGTTGGAGAACCAAATCAGAGACAAAACATACGGAAATATTGAATGGAGTAACAATGAAATGGGAAATCAATACATTGGCCGTAAACTGTCGGACAGCTCTAAAAGTGCACAGAATGACATAAGTGTCAGAAACGTTCGCTTTACTTACACTGATAATGACCGCTGCAGCGGAATATTTTTTCAGTAAGGAATTCTTAGGCCCTAGTTTCACTACTACATACGGTGTGCGAAAGCTAGCAGAACATAATTAGCAACAAGATCAACAGACCTGCGATAAGTATTGGCACCTCACTACCATGTCCGTGATGTTTGGATGGGAGCTGTGAAGTTCTGAAAATCCTAACCACGGACGTCAGAAGCTTCAACACAGACTCTGGCTTAAAAACCTGACTATAAAAAAGCGGAAAAGCGGCGACTATCCATGAGATGGATCACTGTGAACCCGATGTGAAACCCTGAAATGAAAGCTAAGGAAACTGAATTTGCTTGTCTCTGAATTGTCGAGCGAATTGCTGGGGGCTGCTTGCATGGTGCAGAAGGCACCACCAAGCACAACTCATATGAGTAAAAGTAGACACATTGATGAACACTCTAGATTCAATATCATTACGATGGTCCGACAAGCATAACAATCCACGCTGTAATTCGATGGGTGGTTCTTGCACTTTCACACAAACAAGTGCAATCAGTTAGGTCAAAGAAGATCAATACAGTAGATAAGACAAACGCTTTGGAAATGTTACTGTGAAACAATTCACCTGCGCTGTTTCTGATTGTCTCACTGACGCCTGGTTTCTTGGAAACAATGGTGCGGATCAGTTGGAATACTTGTGATACTTCGATACTGCATCCACATCCCCCATTTCTTGAGACCCAATAGCTCACTAAGCATCCTCTTCAGCAAGTAGGCTCCGCTTTAGTTCGCCTCTAATAGTCCGTCTGGTCACATTGTTGTCAGAGTCAGCAGGAATGTTTCTTCTGGATTCCAACAGGTTCACCGACCTCTCGGATATTCAGTGGCTGATGCAGTGACGGTTGATACTAGCATGAGCAGATGCTACTGCGTCGTACATGGTGACCGAAATCCTATTCCACTGAAAGTGTCATTACGACAAGGGAGCGAAAGTTCGCTACGCAATGCATCTTGGTAGGCTTGCTTGACCGATGGCTGGGATAATTCCTCAGTTGCTAAATGAGGGAGACACTTGGTGCGCCTCCCGGTAAAGTTCATGGTAAAGCGATAGCGCATGATCAGAGTCGACGCAAGTACTCCAGAACGAGCGGCAGTCCAGGATGCAACCATACCATCTGTAACTTGTGACAACTATTTGGGTCCAACGCTGACCAGCTATGAGGGGGGGTGGGCGCTAAGTGGCAATTCAGCGCCCATTGTGACTAAAAGCAGTGCTACTAAGAAGCAGCCGCACATAGCTGCAACAGACGTTTGCCGCTGCCCATCTGCTCAGAGTAAAGCCCATAATTAGCACCCAGCTGAGATTCTGGAAAGCTCAGACGACCTACTTCCGCATTCATGTCCCCTGCAAGAACTATGATGTATGAACTGGTAGCACGGCGTAACAGCGTGTTTAGTTCCTGATAGCATCAAAACTGCATAAGCGGAAGCCACAAACAAACAGCGTCTAGCGCAACCTTAGTTGATGTCGTTAAACGGACTGCACACACACAGATGTCCAAAGGAATCCAACCAACCAACGATGACTCAGCCCTGGAGCAGAAAACAATTCCCACCCCAGCTTGACCAATGATCGCCGCATTTGCATCTCCGGATGCGTGCAAGCAATAGTTAATTCAACAACCCCGTGAGGGTCATTGATTCTAGTTGCGGAAACGCAACACATGCAATACCCATGGGGTTCAACTTGCGTGCGAGTGTATCCTGTTAATCTATTTGTCTTGGAGTGCGAACGTCGAACGCCAATGAAGCAGGACAACGTGGCTGCTACCGATAGGCGTCCAGCGGGTGGTGCGGGAAGATGGCTGTAGTTGGTAGAACTGTAGTGGTAATACGGTTGCTATCAATTAGGCTGGAAATCATAGAGGAAAGTTTAGTAATGGTGTCTGGTGGGGGGTAAGAGAAACAGGCGAAAGAGAAAGACGTCAGCAATAGCATATGTCCGCTTGTCTGCCCTGTTGTATGCAGTAGATAAGACGACACTTGATAAGTTGCGCGACGCCCGATGCAGGATGTGACTGAATTTTGACGAAATAGGCATGGTTGTACATGAGCTGCTGCCAGAGCATCCAGGCCTGGACAGAAGAACGACTAGAGTCCTCAGTCTAAGTCTTTGGCTCAAAAGCCCGTCCGCAAGGCAGCAGATGTGGCAACGATTCGGTTTAACAGAAATGGATGGCATCTCATTTTAAAACCCTAACATGGAGGACCAGGAAACCGAATTTTGCTGACCTCTAATCATTGACCAACTTGGTATGAGTAGCTCTCAAGTGGCCCGGAGGCACCACCTAGTAGAGCTCAATGGATCGAAGAGGTAAACAAATTGTCGCATAACGTTATGGTCCAGTCTGGTTGCGACGGTCTTTGCTAAATATTTATCCTTTATGGGTGTATAAAGCATATTCTTGACTTGACTGACTCTATCGCGCTGCCACCGTTCAGTTGACATGTTCCTCCCCAATAGCCAGTGGGCCAGGCTTGAATTCATTAACTGGCAGTGGCAGTGGCAGTTTCCAAACCAGATAGTCCTCCACATGCCGAAGTGCTAGACAGCCGGTTCGTCCTATCGGAATTTGTCAGTACTGCACTCCATCAGGATCCGAACCCATGACAAAAGCCCGTCACAGGCTGTCCTAAACTTCAGATTGATGGGTTTCGGAGGATGAGAAGGACAACCTTCGGACAAAGCGCATGAATCCGCTGTCATGTATTACTTAACAGAATAGTGGTAATAATAAACGATGGAGCTTATTTAGTCAATGCCTATGAAGGAGCTGTTGTCTGGTTAGGTTGGTTTCCATTCAAGCAACTACCTATTGTGACGGAGGTTCGAGATTCATGGAGTACAGTAGCCGCAAGTGATGATGGATATTGTACTGATTGGATATCGAAACGAAGTTGTCGAGCCGATATCAGCTTGGCATTCACCATTGATGGTCGGTTGGTTGTGAATGTTTATTACGGCAAGAGCGATGGACTCCAATAAAGATAAAGGCGAAGATGTGCGAGTCTGCGTACTTATGTGGCTCAGTAAGTGACGCTAGGTGGAGATACGCAAGTACCTCAGGGATCCTAAACCAAATAGACGAAAGACTGAAAATAAATTCAATCCCTAGATCTTGTTCACGGAAGTCTTGGGAGCCAATGGAAATTCTTCTCATCAAGACAGCGCCATCGAAAGCAGCGGTTTATGGGACGTTGAAGTTTGGTGCTGCACAAATACAAGTAAGTTCAGCTAGAATGAACAGAGAAACCAACTTGGGACAAAAGTTAACAAGAACTTAAGGAGGAATACGAACCAGATGGTAATAGGCTAGAAATACCTTACAGATTGAGCTATTTGTCTTGGATACAGTGTCTGTGTACATAAATCCTCAAAAAGATCAGTGAGGAGCAGTATCTGAGTGTTTGCTTAGCTCGGCAGTTTGACTGCAAACGTTTCGTCACTAGCCGAGGCGACATCGGTACGAAGCGTAGTACCGCGCCGCTCTGCTACACAAACGCGCACTGACGATGTCACCTCGGGTAGTGACGAAACGTTTGCAGTCAAACTGCCGAGCTAAGCGAACACTCAGACCACCAACTGAACAACCTGAGCTACCAACATTTGCTTCTATATCACAGGAGCAGTATCAGGTTCCCATTGGACGATCGATAGTGAAACAAGCGATCATCGGGATTCCTGAATCCCTTGGATATGGAACCAACGCATGGTTGAGGAACGAACAACTTCGATGCAAGTAGCGGTCAGTGACACCGATGGTGGTCAACAGTGACGTGAGTAAGAGATGTTCGGTTGGATGTGCTGCGAGGCAACACGAGATGATCGACAGCAGCGTGGAGAATCGCGAAGCCAGTTGTAGTGGTCAGCTTGCCTGTATGACCATTGACCATTTGGATCAAAGAAACTCTGAGGATATCAGTAGTGCAGTTAGCTCAATGTGATTAACTCGGCCATTGCTTGTCACCAGGTTGATTTGAAGAATACCCAAAGAGAACGAAAGCGTTAAGACAAGCAAAGGGTAATAAAGGTCGCAGCAAGCAAGATGTGATATAAAGTAATGTTCACACTCGTAGACTCCTCACACGACACCAGTATTCACGTAGAGTAGAGTTCAGAATAGTTGTCAAATATGGGCGTATAGCTCGAATCCAACCCAGTCAATTCAATTGCACCATGAAGATTGCAAACTAACAGGCTCAATAGTTTGAAGCTACCGACCGCTGAGCTGAAATTAACACTGACAAGATAAACTCTGAGTGGAGGATGATGGAATGGGGATATTTAGTGCCCCCAAGCATCGAGTGACTAGAAGTGAGGACACCTCTACTTCGTAGGTGCAGTGCACGAATGACTACAGGTGTTGGGTTATCCTTACGTATGCAGAGTAATTTAAGGTTGGTGAGAAGTCTTCATTAAGTATCAATTATGTGCACCTACTGAGTGAAGTGATCAAGAAGCGGTGACGAGCACGATAAACGGAATAGTTGGTCCAGTGTGTCACACAAGGTGTGATAAACACGCTGTGAAAGTTTTGTACCGCCCTGCTGTGCAGAGAAAGGAAGTTTTTGGATGAAATATATGGATATCAATGTCAAAGCTAAATGGGAGTAAGTAAGGCTGCGGAGTATGCCACTCACCTCCCTGACGACCACAGAAATCCCGCGACCTCAGGCCAGAGGTAAAAAGTTCCTAAAATAATGGAATATACGGAGAATCGCAGTAATAGTACGCAAGACCGGTAAAAATGACACAAAACCAGTAGCGTTATTTAGATAAAAGAGCAGCTAAAGTCAAATCGAGACAAAATAGGCATTATACACCTAAATGGGTGCATTATCCGCATTTACATTATCACTGCGGATACACTAAATGAATGGGACCAGTTAAAAATATCTAAACACAGACTGAAGGGTTGAATAGTCAAAGGCATGTGGATGTCATTCAGGCAAACCGCATGCGCAAAGCATTTACGACTTCCTTAGAGTCGACAAGGAAGCGTAAAAAATAATGCGATTGTGTTACGAGACGAAGAAGAGGGAATAAAATCCTAAATTTTGAGCGTGTGTGAAAGACAGATAACGTTTGTAAGAGAGCATTATGTAGTGGATGAAAGCGGTCAATTAAGACCTTAAAAGGAAAATTACATGCAAGCGTCCAAATGCTTACGAGCAATAAAATCAACTATGCAATCTCTAGGCAAGCCATCGCATCTGGAAATATGTTTAATCGATCGCACAATCAAAACATAGTGATTTTGTAGTAGTCCAGGGAATAGTACTGAGGAACAGTACAGTAAGTGGGGTAGTATACATGTAGTTACAAATCTCAAAATTAAGCTTCGCGGTAGGGGGAAATTCATAAGTCGGGAAGCATAAAAAGATAACCATCTAACGTTGTGAAAGGTCTCCAAAATAAGCATGGACCAATAGTGGTTTTGTAAAAAATTAGACATCAAGATATTTACCAATGGATGAAATAGGAATGGTACTGTCCTCCAAAAGTTAATAGAGAAGAGGCACCTAAAATTACTCGCAATTTATGAGGGCGGAGAAAAAAATGTTACATCAGTATATTTCAAAGCATTAATTTTAAGGGGCGCGGTTGGTGACCAACTCACAAATTCGTCTAAACCATAATGAAGCGTAGACGTCATAGTGGAGGGAGATCCGCACCCAAAGACGACATCGTCAGCAAACTTACAGCTAATGTGTTGGTGGTATGGGGAGACTTTTGACATAAAAAGAGAATAAAAAGATGAGAGGATCGCACCCTGCAAAGCACCACCGTCAGCAGGGAGCAGAAAGGGGCTTTTGCCGTTTAACTGAGCAAAGTATGTATGATCAGTGAAATAGTCACGCAACAAGTTGCGAACATCGGGGTACACTCCGTCAAAATAAAGTAAGTTAAGCAGAAATAATTGAGCAAGACTCCCGAACGCAGTCCCGAATGCACTTCTTACCTAGCGCAGAGGCTATTGAATGCACAAGGTACGAGACAGCATCAAGCGTAGAGCTTTGGGACCTAAACTAGTGGCGGTGGAAATGCTTGGAACTAGTAGTTTGCCAATACTTCTAAGCGCACGAAGTACAAGCAATGATCCGATAACTTTGAGATTGCTTTTTAGGAATTGGTGTTATTCTGGCTGACTTCCAGATGTCGAAGATGGCGCTTGTTAAAAATATCGGTCAGGGGTAATGTGAGGGATTCGGTGCACTGCATCAAAACCACAGGCAATAAAGCATCGGGGCCACGATTTTTATTTATTTAGCATCTTGAGTTCTCTGTTGACGTTAACTTGATCAAACAAGGCGGCTGAGGCTGAGCAGTGAAGAAGAGTGATAGAAAAGCGCTCGGCAGAGAGGAACTAAACAGAATTGAGTTTGTCAACATCCACTATTCCAGTACAACCGATGGTAGTTTTACCACAGATTTGCTTCAAAAGCTTAAAGTGGTCCCGACAGCTAAGGTTTCCAAGTACCGTTTCAATGTGTAAACTGTTTAGTCTTTCTATTTCAGCTTTAAGTACTAAAGTCAGACTTTTGACTCGAGTTGTCATTTTGAGCTTGTCAGCATGTTCTAGTATCCCTCGAAGTTATTTCAGCAGGGGTGAAGAAAATCTATCTATTCGCAAGTAGATCGTCTCGATAAGGTAACATAGGTGGAAGCAGAAGTTTATGCAACTCGTGAGATGATCGTATTGAAGCGATAGATCTACATCTGTAGAAGCTGAAAAATCGGTTGAAGGAAGCGTTGCATGAGGTCCTGTGATATTCTCCGCTAAGCAATTGCGTCGTCGGATATTCCTGAATTGTAATTTCGTCAATGCGGATTAGATGGCTTTACCGTAGATGGCAGGGCAAATCTTTAGCATACAATGGTCCGAGTTGCTTAGTGGTGCACGCTTTTGAATGGAAAACAAACGAATTTTGTTTGTGTAAGCAACATCAAGCTGTGCGTCTTGTCTGGTCGGGAAAGTTACTAACTTTACCAGATCAAGTGACTTGAAGAAGGTTGTATCACATGTATTAGAATCACCGGAAATAATGCAAGCAGAGCATTCTAGTTTCGGTATCAATACCAAAGAAAGTTGTCCAACTAAAAGCTTCAGTTCGGACGAGGATTTGTCAGGGATATTGTAGAAGTTTCCAATAACAGATTGAAAACCATTGAGAAATTTAGGCTTGCATTCAAGTAAATGACAGCTTATAGAGCTTGTAGGGTGAGTGAATAGTTGAGTTGCACCAGTTGGTTAACGTACGTGGTGGCGGCGCCAGCACGCTTCCTTGGCTTACCTGGATGATCGGGCCTAATTGCATGGTATCCACCGATATTTATGACTTCATTTGTAATATCTGGGTGCAAGCAGCTTTCTTGTAAGGTAATAATACCTGTGTTTATATATTCGTTTCGTTGTATGTGTTGCGAAGTCAGTGGTTTTTCCTAGCAATGAACGCACATTGCTGGAGAGGAGGAGTGGTAATTGCATTTTCTCCAAAGGACATCGTCTGAGACCAATTCTCCAACCGGCGCAATGTTTTCTCATGTTAGCAGAATGTTGTTGCACAATCCGATCGAAATTATTCCTAGTTTTATGACCGTAATTGACACACTACGAAATGATTTCAAAAATTCAGCACAGTAGGATAACAATGATAACTGGGATGTAGTTTGATTAAATAAAACTGACAAAACAACAAAATTTATAGGTGCGTAGTAGAGGTCGTAACATAAGACGTTCAAAGAGGCAACATCTACAGCCAGTTTGATGGCCCAGTCAGGGTGTATATGGTTAATCTCCCGTGGAGTACTGGTATAGAATAAAGGAACTTTCTGTGAAGGTAGAAGGATCAACTCAGAAGTGCAGTAGTCTAGGATGGAGTGGGTTGTCATCGAAGAAGCAGGATTTATGATTTGGCTGGCTAGCCGAACAACCTCCTCGTGGTGCCAGCTGGGTGATTCGGGTTTGACCCGTTCCAGCAAATAGTTCGGCGGCAGTGTTCCAGGACGTGGTGGGTTTTCGCCTGGCAAGCGTTCTCCCTATAAAAAGCCACAAATGTCTGCTTAACCACATTGTGACGTGGCGGTCGTGACTCGCCACAAAATAAAGTCACTGCACCGTGGGTATCCGAATAATCCTTTCCAACGCACGGACATCCATCTTCTACTCGAGCATTGCCGACGATATGAGAGTGAAAATTGGAGCAGCACAGTTACAAACAGGAACCTCACAGTTACACACCCACGCACACACAGCTACATAATTACATACCCCCTACATAAACATACACTGGTACGGCAAACATAACGTATTCTTGCACATTCTTGACCGCGCATTGTTATCATAATGATCATGCCTGTAAAGGCGTGCCTCGCCTTGTCGAAAATAAAAACTTTATTTATTTATTTATAAGAACTAACAGCTACAACTGAATACAGAGGCCTTGGGTGACCAGTCACTATGGGATGCGCAAAGCAACAAGTTCGCTCCGTAAATCACTGTAATACCTTAGATCTGGGAGATCAGGCACGTATGCAACGACTGGGTAACTTTTAACTGCAATGGTTTCGTGTGATGAGGCAGATAAGTGCACCATGTCCGATTAGCCCCACAGACAGCAGTGGACTACATCCTACGAAAGCCCTCGTTCACCTGGTGTGTGGGGCAAGGTATTTGTGCCCGAAAACTTGGATCTGATGAGGCTCTTATGTCAAACAGAGGACTTGTGCATGGAAAAATAAACAGCAGTGCTACAGCCACTTGGAAGCGGATGAGAACGGGAGAATTAGTGGCTAAAAGGCGCAAACAGTTTGAACCACTTTAACTCTTGTACCAACTTTGAGAAAAAGTTATTCACTGATCAATGATAGCCCCCTCGCCTATCGAGATATATAACGAAATAAAGAGTCATGGTGAGGAAAGTGGACAACGTAGGACGTAGCCAATGTAGGTTAGTTTCTTTGTGAACTGGGTACCGAATAAATGAAAGATGAAGAAAACAGTGCAGGTGTAGTGTAGAACGCTCAGCAATGTCTAGTGTGTACGAGTCCATGACATTCGGACGGGACATGAGTCAAAACACAACGGAAGTCAAATCTTTCAAAGCAAACGTCAGAAATTTCTTGCTTGCGAACAAAAACAATTCGCAGTACAGAAACCGAGTGGTTAAAATAAAAACCGCCAATGCATAATCCTACCACAACAAATAGGGTCAATCTCAGAGTACGGACTCAATAAGCATCACATTATGAGGATACAATGTTCAGGGAAAATGCTCTCCAAGGTGGGAACTTGGCCAACCATGCATCGGTGGGGTGATCTCAGGATGACACTATTCACTTTAAGGACAGCTAACAAAAGATGGAATAGTGGGGGTTCAAAAGGGAAAACAGATTCGCCAATCACAAACCTCAATCACCTCCCAAACAACGGATGAGATGGGAAGTTGTACGGGTAAAAGGCTCAGTAAGTAGACCACCAAAAGGAATCGTTCGTCCAGACGGACAAGTTGTCTGGCGGAAAGAAATGCATATCAGAGAGTTAAGAGATATAGTGGGATAATTTCTGATTTTTCGAAGTTTTATCTAGTGAAAAACAATTTAAAAAGGACACTAGAGCTATTACGCCAGTGCTTAAATGCTGAACAAGTCGTCACAAGCAGGAGAATTTTGTGGACCAGGAGGCAGCCGTATACGGATAGAAGAGCCTAGATACTAGAGACAAAATGGTTCCAGCTGAGGTTCGTGCTACCGGTGGCAGATCAGGTTGGTAATGAGTGTATAACAATCGAGCATCGACTAACATATAATCAAGACATCCCAATGCGCAGTTAATGGTAAGTAGTATAGGCAAGACATTGATATGATATGGCAAACGTAGTGATGCAAAAGAGGACTAAGGACAGGCGGCTACATATGCATTCAAGCATCCGGTTTCAATCAGTTTCAAATAAAGCACAGACTTTCCGAAATGTAACGACACATTAGCTATGAGCCTGGTTAGTACAATGCAGTGTATCACAAAATTCATCACTAAAACTACCGCAAGGAGGGAACTATCCGCTGTGCCAGATCGTAGGAATTGGTTGTTGAAGTGAGTAGAACACGGTGTAGAAAGTTGCACAGGTCGTTGTGCTGCGTGGATTCGCAAAATCATTAGCAAGGCAATGCTCCGAATCGATGCGAAAGGTATATCCAAAAGATAAAGTGTAAAATGACCGAATAGCTCTTGAAGGTAAGTGCAACTATTATGGGTATGACGCGAAAGTAGCAGTTATAAGGGCTTACAAATGTTCAGTGCCAACATGCATTTGTTAGCGAAGCGAACCGGACGATCGGTACAACGCTGAGGCTCTCTTCAATATCCAACGTGTAGAAAAGAAATAATGACAGATGGGCTTTAGACGATCTTAGACATAATACGACCGAACACGGCCATTGGAACAAAATACACATTGCCAACAAGAGTAATTCCAAGGTTCGAACTAAGCAACCCATGTTACGCGAAAGAGTCAAACATCCAACGGGCCCTAAGCGCAGAATGGTGAACCAGAGAGAGAGTGGAGGTTAATTAACGGAACTCACTTAATCTCCCTCAGAGCATGCAATAGTATAGGTTCACATTTTGTTGGTTCTTCTAGATGCAACAACGATTTGGAATCCAACTGACTAGCAATGAGCAATGAACGTTCGAATCGCATCAGGAATTTTTCCACGTTCATAACAGTCTTATGACCAGCGTCCGCATTGAGTACCGCGGATTCACCATTAAGACGTTGGTCAGATATGGACAGAGCAGAGCTACATGCCACGATGAGTTGAATCGTATTCAATAGCTCTAGTTTGCCGGAGTTGCAGATGGGACTGAGAATGCAGGAAATAAGGTGGGCACAATGAAACAATTTGGAGTGATGCGAAACGACAGTGGCAACATGGATACGACGCCATCGGCTGTGCACATTTTGAAGTAGCAGACAAGAATCGCTAAAATGAATATATGCAGGCAGTACAATAAAGCAAGTCCGGAACTTAGAGAAAGTGAACAGGCAATCCAGAGCTTGTCAAAGCGCTTGGAGTGTTGGGCCGAACACCGGAAAGCAGACTAACCAACCTGAGTCCTCATTTTCGTTTTCAGGCATTGATCGCTCTTCTCTCTGGGTCGTCCGCTTGGATCCGCTTTCAGTAGCAGAAGTCGAACGTGAGACCACAATGTGCAAATTAAATAAGGCCGCCGGAACGGATGGACTTCATTCAGCTCTCTTCAAATTCGGGGGAACTGCTCTCATGGATGATATACATAACTTAATAGTGAATCTGTAGGAGCGGGAGACTGTCCCGAACGACTTGAGAAGCTAGGTTATAATCCCGATTTTACAGAGAGGCTCCCTTTCGTAATGCGGAAATCATAGAAGAATCAATCGGATCTCAATTGTTTATAAGCTAGTTGCTTCCGTCGCCCACCGCAGAATGGATAGCATCCGTGAAAGCTAAATGCGCGAGGAGCAAGCCATGTTTCGTTGAAATCGTGGCTGCGTTGACCACATCTTCAGATTACGTCAATAGCTGGAGCGTCACCATATTGATTAGCGACCCGCTGTAGTCGCATTCCTTGACCTCTAAAAAGGTCTCTTCGATCTGACGAATTAATGTCCACTAAGGAAAAATGTGCCCGAGAAATAGGTAAATGTCATGAACGCTGTACACAGAGAGTTGGGACAGAGTGAGGGTTTATGGCAAACTGTCGCCGCCCTTCAATATCTGCAGCAGTGAGACAAGGTTGCCCGCCGTAAGCTTTTCGCTATTGATGAAGTCATGGAGATAGCGTTCGCTGAACACGACTTACAATGTTTAGAACAGGTCCCAGATGACCCACTTCTTGGTTTGGAGTACGATGACGACATCGCCCTACTCTGCGACACGTCCCAAACATGCCAAGCTGTAATGGATAAATTAGCTCTGGCTGTAGGTCGTTTCGGGCTATGATTTGCACCCTTGAGATACAATCCCACTCTAAGATTGGCAGGGACGTATCTCTGCGCTGACCCCTGGCCGTGACGACCTAGAAGTCATCGAGAAAGTGGTTTCTCGGCAGCTATATTAACGCCCGTAGGATCGAAGAGGGGATTATGAACCGTAAAGTAAAAGCTGTGGGCGCTTCTGCCAAATGCCACCATCTGCGGCGTCGACGCGACATCACTCTCGCCCAGAGGGGCAAAGTCTACGATGCAGCCGTGCGTTCAACCCCTTATAAGGTAGTGAGATGTGACCCATCAAGTTGACAGACACAACGAGATTAGCTACGTTCCAACATCGCTGAGTTTGCAACTTAATTCATGTCCATTGGGAACACGGCGTGAGCAATGAGGGTGTCCGGCGTCATGTATTTGGTGCAAGAAGAACGAGTGAACCGCTCAGCACCGTTATGCCACGCACCAGGCTCCGATGGCTGGGCCACGTGTTACGAACGCCAGCATACCGACTCCCGTGAGGTGAGTTGCTTACTCGCCCGGGGTGTGGATGGAAGAATAGGTGGGGAGACCAAGCGATGACTTGGTCAAGAGGAATGAAACCCATCACTCTGAAGTTGGCGTTGGGGTTTCCCGACTGCCTGGCTGGGGTCCGAACGATGATGAGCACGTTTGAGTGGATACACTAGTTGACATGGCGAAGAGCCGATCTCAATGATGTTTGTGTTGTGACTTTCCTTGTCCTCCTCTCCCTTTTAGCTTTACTTTCCAACGAGGAGCTCATACCCTATGCGTAATATGATACTAACCATAATCTTACTGCTTTCAGCTTTGTATGGTAGAATAAATGTATCTTATCTTACTTGTACTGCGGTATATTAGCTGAGATGTGTTCCTCACCCTCAGCTATTGTGTATTGACGATGATGATGACCAAATGCCCCATATTACTCTGCTAGTAACACAGGTGAGTGCGCACCAACGGAGGCCGTCCTGGCAGTTCAGAGTGGCTTGCATGAAATCGAATGGGAGCGCCGGCCCGCAGGCTCCTTACGAGTGAGCAAGAGTGAGAGTGCAACGTGATGGGAATCACCGAGGTGTAGAGCAGGTACATTTCTACAGAATTTCGTGCAAGTGGACCGAGTTACAGCCACCGCAAGCATCAGCATGAGACCGATAAAGATAGCCTGGGCTAAAGAAAGTATACATCACAGCCAAGAAACCGAAGTGTTGAGTTGTTCGGTGAGCTGAATAACTCAGCTGCGGACACTCTATTACCAACCGACGTCAAACCAATGAGTTGTATATTACATGAAAAAGGAACGTGTAAAAAATGAGTCATTCGTGAGAAAAACTAGTGACAAGTTCACGAGTAACGGAAGGCTTTGAACTTGCGCACTCCATGTATAGTTAACTCAGCATTGCCAACTCTCCATTGTAGGAAACCACATAGATTGATCAGTATATGACAGACAGAACCAATATTAAACAAAATAGTATTCATACAGCATTGTTGAATAAGGAAACCGGTGTTCCGTCACACATGTTTATCAGTATGTCGCTGACAAACATAAAACTGCCACTTAGCAATCTTTGTACGCACTACTGATCAACATGTGAATGATGCATGGCTATGTCGTGTAACTGGCTGAGCAAGCCAAATGTGGTCTGTACCGCAGAAATAGGGATTATACGCATTTATCCTATATAAATAAGCAGTGACAGTAAGCAGTTTCGTTACCGAAAACTGGTGTCCGGTCAAATTCAGTCGAATCCGGTGCAGTGATGTCTGGAGCAAGCAGTCACCGCCAACAGGGAACAAGCGACCAAACACAAACAGGAAGAAAATAGCTAAGGGTGAAATAAAATATCACATGTCGGAATTAATTACCCGGTGGCAAAATAACTCCCAGACGAAAATGCGGAGATGCAAAGTACTACAAACGTGACCGCGCTTCTAACGTGAACAATGGTCTTAAGTAAGCTTGGCGAAAGAAAAAAAGAACTGAGAAGCCTCAGAAACATGGCCGCACCCGAAAAGTATTTTCACCTGCTGTAGAAACAGTGACGCCCACTGGGATCCATTTTGTGGGACCTTAGAGAATTCTGGTAAGGGATGATCTACGGCACTTGATATTTGCAACAATTCGTTTTGTAAAGCAATGAAAGCCTCCTATAATGTGGAGAAACAAGGCAAAGATTACATGCGAGAGAATTCCAGGAAGATCTTAAGAAAATGGGTGCAATCGACTACAGAATGATAGCAATCTCAGACGAGACTTATCGGACATTCGTGAACATACAATGGCAACTAAAACGAACACCATGTCCAATATTGATTTCGCAAAAATCAGCAGTGAATGGAAAACATTAGGAGTTGATAAAATTGAAGAGATTGAGGACGTAGGCCTTCATTATCTAGTTTGATAGCTTTCGAACGCGCGCTACCAAACAAGAATCACAACCAGCACAACATTAGATGAGCGGATACTTGGCCACAAATGCGCGGTGTACCCGCAAGATATAAAAGTAATAAATGCGAGTGATTGCGATCTTCCGAAGTAAGAGCCGAAGCGTGGCCTTAAAACATTCGGCTTGATACAGAGATAGATCACCAAGCAAAATAGATTAAAAAAATGCTACCATAAATAGGTGACCTAATTCACGAAATTGACTGGGAAGCATGTCATTTAAACGTTACCCATACACCGAGCGTAATTTACACAGCAGAAACTTATGCAAAGTAAGTCGATTCAACCGAAGTTTCACTGAGTAGGCCACTTGGACTAATAACGCGGCGCAGATAAACTAACCAACTAGCAGAGGGCTCGTAAACTCAAACTGGTTGCAAATGTCCCCTACCGATTTTGAGAAGTCGGATAAGAAGAAACGATGGCCAAGAGACAATGGCTGAAAAGAACTCCAGAAGAAGCATCTGCCATGCTAAACGTCTGGTTTCCGCGAAACGGTAGTGGTCGTGAGATATCGAGTTGAGAGTAACCGATATATATCATCTGGAACGAAAGTATCGAGCGCATTGTGATTGGCACATGAGCAAACCCAATGACGTTATCGCTATCCTAAATCAATACAGGCACTGCTAAATCGGGTCGAGCACTCAGCCTCTATGACCTGCCTCCCAAATTAACAACAGCAAGACGAAGTGCTTCTCATGGTCAGCCCCACAGTCCGTCCCCTTGCCCACCTTACATGGACAACCCATCGAATCTGTTCCTGAATGCAAGTACCTTGGATCCACTATTCTCCCAATGGCCAGGCTACATCAGAAATCATATTGACAGCGCTTGAACAGCGCTCTTACAACGGAGAAACACGTAGTGGCACAGGAAGGAAATTTGTCTGAGAACGAAAATCCGAGTATTCTCAGCAACCATTAGAGCCATGTTACTTTCTGGTTGTGAAACATGGCCGCTACGATCCGAAGACACCCGGAAGCTGGAAGTCTTCGACCACTGATGCCTAAGGCTTACCTTGAAAATGCAGTGGCGTTCGCGTATCCCCGGTGACGACGTTCGTAAGCGCTGTTACGGTCTTCCGAAGCTATCAGCGCTCATGCAACGCCGCAGACCAGACACTGAGTTCACTAGGGTTGTGGTTTCGCCTTCGCCTTGCCAGGGTTGGTGTCGTCGCTGTGGTGGACAACTGAAAACGTGGCTTGCTGCAGTGAAATCAGATGTCGATCTTCTGGGACTCCAAGATGTACAGAGTGCTTTTCCCTGGAAAAATCATTGGATCAGTATCTGCGTGAAGCTTGCGGCTGACCGCCGCACTTGGGTAGCTGCCATCCGCGACATTCATGAAGCCGGCTCATCCTGTCGCAGGAGATAGTCGCAGTAAAGTTAGTAAGTAAACCCAATGAGTGTAAGTCTATAGCATTCAAAGTTGGGTTGGATTGCGACACGCAATCTCTAGTGAGACCTCGATTTACTTTGAAGTAGACCACAGTCATTCTGATCACAAGGACCGTATCCGAAATGGAAAGGCTTCGGTGATGCTCCTCCCAACACTGACAGCCCAATACAGGAGGCTTGCCAATGCAAATGCGCATAAGTGGGAAAAATGACGTGGAAACATAAGGACGCCAATAAACGATGCCGATTGTAACACTACCGTCTTCCCAATTGGCTCTCCCAATTGGGAGGATCAATACCACCGTTAGCAGTGACCGGTGTATCTAATGAGGAGCGTTAAAGAGTTTTATCGCAGAGTGCAGAAAGATCCCCAATGGTAAGTATGGTAAAGAGAGGGTGCACAGTTGAGCTCGATGAGTAAAACTTAAGTAAGCCAGTTCAGGCGATGGAAGTAGAAACGAAGGTATTCAACCCAACGTACTCGTGGAACATGTAAGGAAAGCGCTCAGGGATGAAATGAACTGAGTATAGAATTTTTGGGATAAGCAACTATATAGAGTTTACGCATAAATATTCCGACAAGAAACTTGGAACATACAACAAAAGAATCACATAATAATATATGGGCACATCGACCGGGGGAAATGCAGAAATTGGTGATTTAAAAGGAGCAAAACAAAATGCGATTGGTCGTATGCTCGTAGCGAGAAGGACTAACACGTCACCTGTGGCTTCAGCATCAGATGAGAAGAGAGCCAAGGCAGTTCTCCGAGGCTGGATGACTGAAGAAGATCGGTATAAAACGGTTCTGTGGGAGCGGCGTTGCTGCTGTGATCATTTTCAAGGGAGGACCTGTTATCACAGCAAAAGGACAGTGGACTCGTGCTAATATCATTAAACGACAAGCAGAGATTAAAAAAATTGGGAGATGTGGCAAAACGCGGTTGAACAAGGGGCAACGACTTTACACGGGTTAAGAAGAATGCAATCTTACAAGTCCTCTTGGGTGGACTGTTACGATAGCAAACGGTTTGTACATAATCCGACAAGTCAGACTCTCCCATTTCCGTGTTTTGGATGCAACAAGCGAAGGAAACAACGGTTAGTAGTAGGTAAAAAAAGCTAGAGTATGACATGTCTCATAGGATAGAAGTTGGGAAACAAAGTAGTGTCAAGCAAAAAAGTAAGCATTGGTAGATTCATCACAACGTCAAACTGAACACAAGGATTGGTTGCTTCACGTTGACGCTCAGTTAAAAAGGGAGATACAGCGTAAGCTAAATGCATAAAGGCATCATGGAGACATCTACGAATACTGTTACTGCGGGGGAAGAAACAATGTTAATGGGGAGGACAATCCAGATGACACCCAGAAGAAAAGAAATTCCTGCGCATTCCAAGCGCCTGGATTGCGTGGCCAGCTTTATATAGTGACTGTCCGGGAGAAAGTAAGAATTGCCTTGGAAATTCCCTATTTTAGCGATTAATCGATTATTAACGATTATCGCATCGATTTCGAACGTTCCTGAATGTTCTTCTTCTACACGTGATCAAAATCCACCTGACCTCTCGGCAAAAGATATGGGGAACCACTAACCTTGGCAGCTGACCTTCCAATTCTAGAAGTCGAAGGTCAGTAGAGACCTATAAATACAGCCAAGGTCCGCAGTTGTTGTACAGTGTTCGTTGGCTGCGATTAATACGTTCTTTTGTCAGGGTCATTGGCGTTTTGCTTTTTTCCTTCGGTTGGGCTGGGAGTTTTGTGGAGCAGTCAATTGTTATTTTTGGAATTGCGTCTAGTGAGAAGATTATAACAAATGGCGACGGAGAAAAGTGGAAATGTGATGAATTTTTCTGCTGAACAATTTCAAAAGCTGCTTTTTCAACAGCAAGCTCAAATGGAGGCGCAAATGAAAATGATTGAAAATCTGACAAAATGCTTGAGTTTGCAGACAACTGGAGCAGCGACGCGGGACACGCAGGCGAGTTCTGTTGATCTTCTCACGAACGCCATCACTGAATTCCATTATGATGCGGATTCTGGAAGCACTTTCGAAGCGTGGTTCAAGCGCTGGGAAGACATGTTCCAGACGGACTTCATTCGTCAGGACGACTCCTGGAAAGTGCGATTGCTACTCCGCAAGCTCGGAATAAGTGAACATTCAAGGTTCATAGACCACATTTTGCCCAAACAGCCGAAGGATCTGACATTTGACGAAGCAGTGTCGCAGTTGAAGGAAATTTTTGGTGAGTCGGTGTCCTTGTTTAGTATTCGCTATCAATGCCTGAAAATAGTCAAACAGGAATCTGACGATTTTGGGGCCCTAGCAGACATGATTAACCGTGAGTGTGAACGATTCAAACTACGCTCTTTAACGGACGATCAGTTTAAGTGTCTCATTTTCGTCAGTGCTCTACAATCGCCCAGTGATGCTGAGATCCGAACGCGGCTTTTAGCTAAGCTAGAGCAGGACCCTGATCTGACACTGAAGGCCCTCGTTAGCGAATGCAAACGACTGCTCACTCTAAAACACGACACTGCCATGGTCGAACGCAATGGTCTAGCATCACCAGATACCGTGCAACTTGTGAAAAAAGCCAGGACCGGCAACGCAAGCAGACCCTTCAAGAGGCCTACGAAGAAACCGCCCACAGCATGCTGGTCATGCGGCGAATGGCATTTCGCTCGCTTTTGTCCCTTCAAACATCACATTTGTCAAACGTGTCATAAGCGTGGGCATAAAGAGGAATGTTGCAGTCAAGTCCGGTCGAAGAAAGTGCAGAAGTCTTATCGAAAGGGAAATTCTAGAAGGGACGGCGCTGAGTCTCTGTCCATAGTTGCCGCATTCCAAAGCGAATGTAAACCGAGACGACGATTCATCACTGTGTTAATCAATGGGATCCCAACGAAACTGCAATTTGACACGGCCTCAGACATCACAATCATTTCCAGGCGCACATGGAATCACATAAAGAGGCCGAAGATGGTCGAGTCTCAGAAAGTTGCACATAATGCATCCGGCGGTGTGTTACACTTAGTGGGCGAACTCAATTGCAAGATTGCTTTCCAAGGTGTGGAGAAGTCGGGAACATGCTACATTTCAGACCGGCCGAATTTGAATCTTCTTGGCCTCGACTGGATTGAAAAGTTGAACCTCCTCGATGTTCCCTTGAATCAGATCTGCAACCGAGTTCGAGCAAGTCCAGACCCATCTGCAAAGTCCGTCGAAGACATGACACGTACCCTGAAGCGAAAATTTGCTTCTGTCTTTCAGGATGGCTTGGGCCACTGTACGAAATTCAAGGCAACACTGAACTTGCGACCAGGTGCTAAACCAGTGTTCAAGGCTAAAAGACCGGTACCATATGCAGCCATGTCAACCGTTGAGCAAGAGCTCGATCGACTGGAACGTGCCGGAGTCATCACAGCCGTCAACTACTCATCATGGGCCGCACCTATTGTCGCAGTGAAGAAAGCAAATGGCAAGGTACGCGTCTGCGCTGACTTTTCAACTGGCCTCAACGCCGCGCTGGATGACCACCAGTACCCCTTACCTGTACCGGAAGATATCTTTGCAAAGTTGAATGGTGGTAAGTACTTTGCTAAGCTTGATCTATCCGACGCTTATCTGCAAGTGGATGTTGACGAAGTCTCGAGGGAGTTGTTGACGATCAACACTCATCGTGGGCTATTCCAATACAACCGCTTGCCATTTGGTGTGAAAACGGCGCCAGCCATCTTCCAACAGTTGATGGACACCATGCTAGCGGGTGTTTCTGGAACCGCTGCATATCTGGACGATATCATAGTGATGGGTCGAACACCGGAAGAACTCTTCAACCGCTTGGATGAAGTGCTTGGTTGCATACAGTCGTACGGCTTCCGGATCCGTGAGGATAAATGCACATTTTTCACGCCGCTCATCAAATACCTCGGGTTTATCCTCGAAAGGGATGGACGTCGACCAGATCCGGAAAACATCGAAGCCATTAGAAAAATGCCTCCACCCACAGATCTACAGTCTCTGCGTTCCTTTTGTGGGCTCATCAGCCACTACAGCGCATTTTTGCCTGAGATGCACCGCTTGCGTGCCCCGTTAAACAAGCTATTAGCCAAAGGACAACCTTGGAACTGGACAGCAGAATGTCAGAATGCCTTCGAACGCGTCAAGTCACTGTTGTCTTCAAACTTGCTTTTGACACATTTCGATCCCTCCAAAGAGATCGTCCTAACCACAGATGCATCAAGCCATGGGATTGGTGCAGTAATTGCACACACGTACACCGATGGATCTCAAAAAGCAATCGCCCATGCCGCCAGAACCCTTACGAAGGCCGAGAAGAACTACAGTCAGATTGAGAAAGAAGCATTGGCCATAGTGTACGCGGTTAAGAAATTCCACAAAATGCTATACGGCCGCCGCTTCAAGCTTCTGACAGATCACAAACCCTTGCTCGCTATCTTTGGTTCGAAAAAGGGCATCCCGGCCTACACAGCCAACAGGCTACAACGTTGGGCTCTTACCTTAATGGGGTATGATTTCGAGATCCAATATCAGTCGACAGTTTCCATTGGCCAAGCAGATGCACTGTCACGCCTAATTGATACCCGTCAGCAAGAACATGAAGACACAATCATTGCCTCGGTGGAGATTGAACCAGACGTCAACTTTCTGGTAACTGATGCACTGCACTGTCTACCAGTTACCGCAGAAGCTGTACGGACCGAAACACTTCGGGACCCAATACTCAAGAAGGTTACTCAGTTTCACAAAACAAGTTGGCCACGTTCATGTCCATCTGCCGAGTTGCAACAGTATTTTCAGAGGAGACACTCACTCTCTATTGTAAACGATTGCATACTATTTTCGGAAAGAGTGGTCATCCCCAAGGCACTTCAGGAGCGCCTTATTCGACAGTTCCACGCCGGGCATCCTGGAATCAACCGGATGAAGGCGCTTGCCCGCAGTTATGTATACTGGCCCTTAATGGACAAACAGTTAGAAGAAATAGCCAGACGCTGCCAAAAGTGTGCCGATGTCTTGAAAGCGCCACCGAAAGCAGAACTCTGTTCATGGCCAATAGTTACTAAGCCGTGGTGCCGCATTCATGTCGACTTTGCAGGGCCGATCAACGGGAGAAGTTTCCTCATTATAGTCGACTCATACAGCAAGTGGCCAGAAGTATTTCTCATGGATAACACAACCACCAATGCCACCATATCGAAACTGCGCCAAGCCTTTAGCAGATTCGGCTGTCCTGAGACAATGGTCACTGACAATGGCTCACAGTTTACTTCAGCAGCGTTTAAGGAGTTTTGCAAGCAATGCGCCGTCCAGCACGTTCGCTCGCCGCCGTTTCACCCACAGTCGAATGGCCAGGCAGAAAGATTTGTCGATACATTCAAGCGAGCTCTGCACAAATCAAAAGGGGAGGGACGTATAGAGGAGGTGGTTGACCGGTTCCTTTTCCTCTACCGATCAACACCGAATCCACAAGCGCCAGACGGAGTCTCTCCAGCACAGGCCATGATCAACCGGAAGCTCCGCATGCCTTTCGACGCCATCCGACCGGGCTCGGAGTCCTCTGTTGGTGAAAGAAACCGCAGAATGGAACAGGAGTTTAACCGGCGGCATGGAGCAAAGAAGCGATCATTCACGCTTGGACAGAAGGTGCTAGTACGTGACTACCGGGAAGGCCATGCGAAATGGACGCCAGGGACGGTCAAAAGCAAGCGCGGAAACGTCATGTATGACGTGAAGGTGGGCGCACAGGTCTGGCCACGGCATGCAAACCAGTTACGTCCCACATTGTGCCAGCCAGAACAAGAAAGGCCTACTGACCTCCCGTTC